ACGCTCACGCGCCGGTCCTTGAGGTGTGCCTGCGGCGCCACGAGACACCCGTTGTGCCCGGTGCACGCGGCGATGCGACACATGACCCGTCTGGGGGCAGCTGGCCTCCTCGCCTCGTCCGGACCGCTGTTCCCCGGAGGGGGGGGAGCCACTCGGTCCAAGGACGACTCGCTGACGTTGCTTCGGGGCGTCCTGGCGGCCGCGGGCCTGGAGACGGTCTACCGTGACTCGGCCGGGGGACACGCCTGCCGAGTCGCCGGGGCGACTTTCCTGGCTTTCAGGGGCATCCCGATGGCAGTCATACAGTTGCTCGGCAGATGGTCGTCCAGGGCCATCGAGAGATACACCCAGTCGGCGCCCTTGGCCCTCGCCCCGTCGGCGCCCGAGGCCGCCTTGGCTGGGACAGCCGGGCTGGGCCACCTGGGGGGCGGGGCGCAGTTGGCCGTCCCGCTCGCCCTGGCAGACGCGCCGGCTGACCCGGGTCAGCCGGGCGCAGGGGAAGGGGCACAGTTGGCTGCCCCGGAACCAGCACAGGCACAGGGGTCGGACCAGCCGGGCGTACCGGCTGGAACCGGGCTCCCTCGAGTCGAGTTCGTCCCGGCTGTTCGCCCGGAAAGGGCGGTCCAAGAACAGGACCAGGGACCCGACCATTATATTTACCTCGCCCGGACGCGGTGGGTGCATAAACCGGACCCGGCGGAGCACAACTCCGACCGGGCGGCATGGCGTGCCCTGGGCTGCGGCTGGCCCTATGAAGGACGCCAGTTCTTTCAACTATCGGCCCCCCCCCCAAAGGCGGCCTTCTGCAGACGCTGCTTCCCGGCGGGCCTTCAGGGATGCAGCGAGGCAGTCGAAAGCTCCTCGGGCTCATCGTCACGGGCGTCGGGGTCCTCGCCGTCGTCTCACCGAGCTTCGTCGACCTCCGAGTCGGGGGGGTCGACGTCTGACTCATGAGTGGCCGCTCGCCGGGAAAGGGGGGGCCCTCCCTGGTTTGCCCTAGGACAGTGGCCACTTAATGCAGGGCGGTGCTGCTGCATTTCGTCGGGACCTCAGCCTTTCTTGCTCTCGCGCCCACCTCGCCGCTCCCTCACAGCTTCGCCTGGGTCGCCAGCCATGGCCCGCCCGATCGCCGAGGGCTACATGACAGTGCCGTGGACGGCCGGGGGCGATCCGGGCGCCCTCGACCTGGCGACCAATCTGGCCTCGCTCGTCTTTGCCGACGGGCGCACCGTCTGGGACGAGCTGTGCGCCCGTCACGGGCTGTCGGCCAGTTCGGCTCGCATGCTGCGCCTGGTGGGGCGCGACTCTATACCCGAGTTTGCGGCGTGGGCGGGCGATGAGAGGGAGTTCCTCGTCCGCTGCATCCGCCCCTGGCTCCAGGGCTTCCACTCGCCCGGCGGCGGGAGTTGGTTGGAGTGCCCAAGGGCCGTCCGGGTACACGATCGGCGGGCGCTCCTGGCGATGTGGCGCCAGGCTCGCGTCCAGATCGACTGGCTCGCCGAGGACACGCCTGGGCGGGCATACGCCCATGACCCCTTGTGGGGCTTGTCCGCGCTGCCCGCCAGGTGGCGGCCCCAGTGGGCCCAACACTCGTTTCAGACGGGCGACAGCGATGACGACCCGATGTTTGGCGCTGTCCCGTCGGAGGAGCTCGCCTTTGAGCCAGCCCGCCGGGTCTTGGAGTGGCCCGTGGTCCCGACGGGCACCTACGCGCCGGGCACCTACAGCCGTCGGGAGTACTACCTGGCTCGCCTGGGGCCGTGGGCCCGGGTGGTGCACCAGCCCCGCCGCAGTGGCGAAGACGACCCGGTCGCCCGGTGCGGGCGACGCATTGAAGGCGACAGGGCCCTGGCCATGGTTTGGCCCCCCCGGCCGCCGAAGCGGGCGGCATACCGTGGCAGTGGTGCCGCGAATGCTGGGCCGGGGATTTTATTAGCCGGGGCGACGTCGAGACTGAGCTCATCCCGGAGCTGGAGTAGTTGGGCCAGCCGCCAGGGCCGGCGTTACAGCCGTCGGCCGGCACAGACCTCGCCCCGCCGGGCGTCGGAAAAGAGCTCCGCGCCGTACTCTGTGGTGCCTGCCGCTGCTTGGGTTGGTTGCCCCTCCACGGCTCGAGCTTCTCGCCTCTTCGCGCCCCCCCCCGCCGCCGTCATGTCTTCGACCCACGCGGCCCAGGCGCTGGTGGATTTTGACACCCTCGCCGCGGAGACGGGAGCGGGGGACGTCGTCCTCGGCTACCTCCGCGCACGGGGCCTCGCTCGGACCGCCACTCTCGCCCTGGTTGAGCCCGACGAGACCAGGTTCAAAGCCACGGTCATCGACCCTCTCATCGCGGGCTTTCGGGACGACGCCACCAACACTGAGTTCAGGGTCGCCCCGGGCGACCAACCGTCCGCGCGGGCGGTGCTCCTCCACATGTTCTTGGAGGCCCGCTCCCAATGGGACGCCTGGTCCGCCGCCAGGGCGGCTGCTCTGAGCCCCAACGCGGGGTCCCCGGCTGGGGCGTCGACGGCACCGGCCCCAACGCTGTTGAACCTGCCCGCGCCGCCG